CCCTTGCTGGACACCCAGCCGCGCCCCGCTAGCCAGCTGTGCGCCTCCGCTGGGTCCTGTCCTCAGGAGGCCGGGGCTCGGCCGTCAGTCCCTCCGGCATCCAATTCGAAAGCGTTTCTAGGGTCGCGACAATGACAGTAACCGTGAGGGATGGTTCGTGCCGAGGGCTGGAGGGCCCGGCCGGGCCGTGAGCCGCGCTGACGGGATTCTGTTCCTCCCAGGGCATCTCCACCTCGCTGGGGATACTGGCCGACATCTTCGTGTCCATGAGCGAGCACGACTACGAGAAGTTTAAAAACAACCCCCACGCGGCCCTGGTAACTGTCGCTTGACTCTCACTTGCCAATCCCGGTGCCAAGCGGCCGCCCCTGTAGACGGTCTGCCCTGTGCTCTGCCTGGGAACTGGGGGTTGGGGGGGACAGCACCTCCCCCTGGCGGGACATCGGACTCCCAGTTCCACCGCCACCTGGCGCTCTATCATCCCAGCCCCTGTCTGTACTCAGACAGCGACGAGCGAGGGAATCTGCGACCTCCCCACAGTGATAAACGCTTGGAACCCCATACGCTCACTTTCAAATTTTCACCAAATTCAGTGTCCACGCCTGGGCCGTCTCAAGGGGCAGGAACTTTAAAACTTTCATCATCATCGTTCAAACATGGAGCCCCTGCCCTCAGCAAGAATGACTCCGAACAGTTACACACGGTCACAGCTCAGGAAGGCTGTGTCTGCCTGTGACCCCGGGAGATCCTACGAGCAGAACGCACCGTCCCCCGTTAGAGAGGAGCGGCCGAGGCCCAGAGAGGCCACAGGCGTGTGCGTGGGCCGCCGCCAGGAGGCAGGGCCAGGTCTCCGAGCTGAGCAGGGTCCCGCGGGGACAGAGACCTGCTCCCTGCCCTGCATGGGAATGGAGATTTTTGAAATGTTTTTATTGACTTCAGAGAGGAAGGGAGAGGGAGAGAGAGAGAAACATCAATGATGAGAATCATGGATCAGCTGCCTCCTGCACGTCCCACACTGGGGATCGAGCCCACAACCCGGGCCTGTGCCCTGACCGGGAATCGAACCCTGACCTCCTGGTTCATAGGTCAACGCTCAGCCACTGAGCCACGCCGGCCGGGGGGAAAGTGAGATTTGTATACGATCCCCGATGTTGCCAATTCCGTTAAGTCCCAAGTGACGGCAGTCACGGCGCTCAGCGCTATGCCGCGTGAGGACACAGCTGTTGGCAGCGACCGGAATCAGCATCGTAGCTGCCGCTCTTGCTGTCGGACAAACAGGGCAGGGCTGTGTCCCTCCTCCAGGGAAGGGGCCCCTGACGTCGCCCCGGCCCCCGGGCCCTCGCCACCAGCATCTTACCTGCCCTGGGTGTCTGATCCCCTCCCTCAGGCAGCTCCCTGCGCGTCCCTGTGCCTAACACAGAGCCTGATGCACAGGGCGCGCAGCACGTGTTTCTAGAACGAATGGGGAGCCCTGTTGCCACGAGACCGTAAATGAAAGGGCTGAGGATGACTCGGAAGCCAGCCATTAACGTGGCTGCGAAGTGGACCGAGTCCCTCCAGGGGGCCTGCGGGGAGGAAGCCGCTGGGCACCTGAGCCCTGCCCACGCGGCCGGGGAGGGGGGGAGGCTGAGTGTGGGGGGCGGCCCCTCTCTGGGCACAGCTCTGAAACAGTTTGCTGGGGGCTGAGG